CTGAATGTAACTGAGCTGAAGCGTTTTCTCGGAGCGCACCTTAAAAATAAGAGCAGTCCTGAATTATTTCAAGAACTGAGCAACGCAAGACAACATGATAAAGAAGGTCCACAACAGTTTATGTATAGACTGATGGGGTTAAAACAGCGTGTGCTTTTTGCTTCTAAAGTAAGCACAGGTTTCCAGTATGACAAGAAATTAGTTCAGGGAGTGTTCCTACATTCACTCTATCAGGGCATACATGAAAAATATTCATATGTCCGACAAGATCTCAAACCCCACCTTACAGATGAGAAAGTCACTGATGACTTTATCCTAGAAGTGATAACAAAGTCAGTAGGTGAAGACACAGAGAGACAGAATAGACTAGGTCAGGCTCTCAAACCAAAAGCAGTTAGCGTCAGTACAGTGCAGATGGACAAGAAAAGTCAGAATGCAGTTCAGATGCAGGCAGAAGTCCAAGCTAATCGTACTGCCATACAAGAGCTAACAGCACAGGTTTCATCACTGACCAAAAGTTTAGAAAAGGCTTTAACACCTATTGTTGGTTCAGGGACTGAAAACATTCACACACCTTTTCCCCACCAAAACCAGCCAGCAAAGTCAGACGCTAAACGAAGATGTCAGCAATATGTCTCCCAAGGAAAGGATAGCTGTAGCCACTGTTTCAAGTGTGGGAAAGAGGGACACAGAGCAATTGGCTGTTTGATGAAGAACAATCTGTCGGGAAACTGGGCGAGGTCGCTGGGACGGGACCACCAGTGACCAGAGCGAAAGCAGGGTCCCATCTCACTCCAAAGCTGCATCCTCAAGAGGGCGCACCACCGTCTGCCAGGCTCATCAAACAAAATAGCTCTACTAAGAAGAAACATGTTGCCCACCTGATTGGTGGTAGATGCACTGTGACATGCCAACTAAATGGGGCCGAGTTGCAGATGCTATTGGACAGTGGGGCACAAGTGAGCATAGTGGAGAAGCCATGGGTACAGAAAGCTCTACCAAATGTAACAATCCAACCTCTTGAGAGCCTACTACCAGAACACCCTCTCAAAGTCACAGCAGCAAATGGAACAGAGGTGCCATTTGATGGATGGATAGAAGTCTGACTCGAAATCAAAAGTATCAGATATGGTTCTGTGGCTCTCTATGTTCCGTTGCTTGTAAGTCAAGAGAGTATAAGCAGCCCATTGTTAGGTTTTAATGTGATACAAGAAATCATAATGGGAAACACTGACCAGAAAAAAAAGCAACTTGGTGGACTTACTGTCAGAGGCTTTGAGAATTCAAAAAAGTAGTGTCGAAACTCTGGTCTCTGTGGTTTGCACTATGCC